TTTCATGACTCGAATAAGCGATATACATGATCCATGCAGGATTCTGCCTAACACTAATCCCTCTCCCCGAAAACACTAGTCCCTCTCCCCAAAAACACTAATCCCTCTCCCCAAAAAACCACCCCTCGACTTTGCTGTCCTCGAAATTATGGCAGTCAGCTAACAGTGGTAACAGAGCTAGAATGAGGAGAGTCCTCTGAGCTCGTTGCACTGTACGTTTTTCCTGGGATTCTCCTCCTTTTCCTGCTTTTTTCTGCTTTTTGAAGTTTCCCTGTTTTTTCCTGCTTTTCTTCTAATTTTCTTCTGCTTTTTCCTTCTTTCAGGGGCCCTCTTTTCTGCTTCTTTTCCTCTTTGCTGTGGGAGTGGGCTGGGGGATGCAGGTCCACGTGGGGAGTGCACAAATATTGCGCAGTACTGCTTTCCACTTATCCAACTGCAACAGAAGATCTTCCCGCTGAGTCCAGTGCGAATCCCGGTCAACAACAGATAAGGAAGCTGAAAAGAAACAGAAAAATGAAAATCTTATGTCGCCCATCCTAGCTGAACCCGGCCTTCCCTTTAAAAAAAATAAAAAAAATAAAAAAGAAATATTAGGAGGATGCAAGGTGCAAGCAAGTTACAGAGCCTTGCCCTTAATTGGTTGGCAGAATGTTGCGGGTTTTCAACGTTTTGTGCACCTAAGCAGGAGGAGGGCTGTACATTTGCCCAGCATGGGCCAGCAAATAGTAATTGACCAGCCCATGCGTCAACTATGACATGCACAGTGTGCACCATAATCACTTCACAACGGCAAAAGGGAATCTTATGTTCTGATGGTTTTGACAAAGGTTCATATGATTCATAGTCGGACAGTAAACGAGCCGTGAATCAAGCATAGTTGCGGCGCACGAGTGTGCGGCGCGGTGCGGGGCGGTGCGCAGTACGCTGTGCGCTGGAATGACAGCGCGCGCACTGTGCGCCGTCCGCTGTGCGCAGTGCGATCCGCTGTGTGCGGTGCGCGCGCTGAGAGAGGTGCGCCCTGTGCGCGATATTAAAAAAAAAAAAAAAAAAAAAAAGACAGGCCCAAGAGAGAG